ATTTCCACTCGTCTGTCTTTTTAGTTGCCTTTGTGATAAATTTTTGAAATTGTAAAGAGACTTTATGGACCCTGTATATTATATTATATGAACGACACGCGAAGAGGGGAAAATCGTCGCCTCTAGTTTCTGGGCTTCTGGAAGAGGTGTGTACCCTTGTCGACGAATGAATCGTCGATAAGCCGGGCAATATTGTCTGGCGTATAAGGTGCATCGCGTATCGCGCGCGTGCAACGTAAACACTGCGATAATTTCGTATTTTTATAGGCTACTTATTTGGGTGATAAAAGCGGGGCACAGAGATCAGGGACTCGGCGGTCTCCGAGTATTAATTAATTTGTATGACAGCTGCTAAAATTCAATCCGGCCACGTTACGAAACGCGTTACATCTCTCGATCTCGATCTTGTTTCCAATCGACTCAGTTGCCGACTTGTGTCTGTTATTGGACGAGATTGATCAATGGCAAATTATCGATCGTCGGAATTTCGTCGGAGAAGCACTTACCTACTTAACTCGTTAACTTGCCTCGCGATTTTCTTTTTAATCTCTCGGATGAATAAGCATTACTCATCGTCGTAACTGTAACATTGCTCGAGATATATAAAACGCTGAAGCGTTATTTACTATTTGTCGCAGTGTGACGAGCGAAATAATTCGAACGCATGGAGTTTCAACGTGAATATTAAATTTTTATCGATCATATTTGTTTGCATGTAGAATATATTAAAAAAAAAAAAAAAAAAAAGAAAGTAAAATACGTGGCATTTTGTGGAATGTTCCGACTTTAAAAAAAAAAAAAATTGTATGACCTTGTCGCTGTTACTATTCCGACGAATATAAATTGTTTTCGATCAGTTTTGCACCGCAATTAATTTAAATGACAAATTATCGAGGCTTCAATAGGCTTGTTATCGTTTCGTAAGAACGAAATATAACATCGTACATACTTGGTCTCGTTTTACAACCGTAATACTTGTATTTTGACTACCCTGAATTTTTTTTTTTTTTTTTTTTTCAAGATATTTCAACGTCATGTAGCAAATTTAAAAAAAAACTTTTTTCCCATAATTTCATCGAACAACGATTCCAACATTTCGTTTCTATTGTTTTTCTATAATTTTCAAAGTTTAATAAAATTGCACAAAAA